TTGCTCTTTGAGAAGTAATATTTCCATCCAAGTTGGATTTTGTCTCTTGTATGAATAGACTACAGAAAAAAAAAACACTTTGTGAATTTCTCTTTGAAAACTGCTCATAAAAAAGAAAATCCTTGGGTTTTAAAATTGATGACCCCTAGGGGGCTACATAGAGTTTGGTTGACACCCATGTCAGTGAAAATTTGAGATTTATTTTTTTATTTTTTTATTTTTTCTATTTATTTATTTATTTTACAAAACGTAAAAAATGTAAAAAACGTTTACAAAACGTAAAAAAAACAAAGTGTTTCCTTATGATATTAATTAAATTTTTCTATTATTAAGTTTATCATTTTATTTGTATATTTTTATATTATTATGGAATTAATATTTTAAAACATTAATTTCTAAAAACTACTTGGAAATCATGAATTCATTCTACCATTATTTGGCTGTTTATTTCTAATGAGTTTCTCCTTGCCATTGTAACCTTTATCTTACTTGTTGGATGCTGTAGTGAAATATTCGCTTTACATTTGCTTTGTAACTATATTTAGTGTAAAAAATGTTTTATATATATATATATAATAACCCAATTTATTTAATTATTTAATTTTTATTTAATTATTTAATTAAAGTTTTAACTTTTAAGTGGGTATAAAATACAGAATTAAATATATCTAAATATAACTAAATAGTAACCTAATATTTTTCAATATTACATATTATACATTATAAAATATTATTATACAAACATATACATTTTTATATAAATATATTAATACATTATAAAGCCAATAATTAAAATAATAATTTAATTAGATACCAAACTTTTTATTGCTAATTTTACATAGTATAAATGGATTATCATATATGAATCATCTGTCATTATATATTAGAAAGGGGGTCAGCATAAATGGGGGTCCCTGATATTAAAAGTTTGAAAACCCCTTCATTATGAGTTCTCTATTATAAAACAATAGCAACAACAATTGGATACGCACGCACGACATGTACTGCAGATGTAAAATGAATCACAATGAGTACATACTCCCAGCCATTTCTGCATGTGTTCCTCCAGCCTGAGAATAAATAGCCATGGGCCATGCGCCACCTGATCAGTGTCTCAGTGTCCTTGTGGGACCCTGAAACAGAACAGCGGTGCAGACGAACAGTCCGGCATGAATTCACTGTAGCTTTGGTGCTGCTGTAACATGTGATTTTATATATGCAAAACAAACCGCCCAGTCAAGCCACACCATAAACACTGACAACTGTCAGTCTGAAATGATAGTAATAAATCCTTATTTATTAACCGAAAGCAGTTGCACATACCAAGTGCATTAACGTTAACCCGGTTTTAAATCCACCGTGAATTATATATAAACTCATAAAAGAGAGTTAAGGTAATGTGCGAAAGTTTTGCATGCGTGCACACAGTGCAGCTTTACACAATGACACTCACACTGTTGAGATGGTTGCGCCATTTCTTAAAGGGAGAGAGGCGGCCAAACTCCTCTTATGAGATATACAGTAATACCATGAATATTATTATTATCTTTCACTTCTTCAACAACCGTTTGCGTCTCTATTGCGGACAGCACTTCTTCACAGCTTTTCCAGTTTCTAACAGACGGACCAATGATATTAGGTCATTGCCCTCTAGCGGTCAGGAGAAAAACAACTCTCAGGTATACTGCATAAAAATGATCTCACTGAAATAAGCATCAATTCATTTTCATCTTTAGTGTAGATTATATATCTACAAGTTTTATAAGACATCGAGTCATAAAAATGCTGAAACCTTTAATCCACAGAAGGATTATTATTATCATCTAAAACAAACAAAAGTATTTTGAAATAAAGCTGAAATAAAATACAGCACAAACATTAGATTAAAAATGTAAACTAAATGAAAATAAAATTACTGGAAATTAATTAAACCTAAATAGTATTTTTTCTTTTTTTAAATCAAAGATCACACAAAAGCACATAACAAAATTACTAAAAATTAAACTAAAAGGAACATGAAAACTGAAAATAAAAGATCATTCAAAATATAAATAATATAGCATATGAATAATACTAAAATAACAATGATCAAAGTTTTTTCTAAAAATTATTTTTTGAATTACACCCATTTAAAAAATAGATTTCATTACAAATTTGTATCTGCAATATTTATTGCAGACTATACAAATATATGATAATAATAATATACATTGTTTTATTTTATTTGTGTTGTAAACAAAAGTGAAGTAAAGTTTCTCTGGTGTATATTTTTCAGCGTGGGTTTATTTGTGAAACCACAAACCTAAAACATGTATAGACATAAATCATAGTTAACCAAGTCTTGACTACAAAAAGAAGCTAAATTAATGCCTATGAGAAAGATACTGTTTGTTGAACACACATTACCTTTTGTGACTCTCTATGGGGTAAGTTGTCTCTACAATAGAACCTGTCATTAAACAGCATTTTACTTTTCAGCAAAGTTTAATTTTCTGAATGACAAAAAGGTGGACCATGAATCTTGTTTTGACATTTATTGTGTGGCACAAATGGTATACTTTACTTACAGACACTGTTATTGTACATCATTTCAGTAATAAAGCATCACACTCCATGTTTCTTTCAACATTTACAAATCAGTAAACAAATCTCAAAAATATTTTAGTTTAGGGGCCCTTGTGCACTCTCTCAATGTATGTGGAATCTATTATAGACTGTGTGCATTCGACAAATGCATTCGATTTTGGACTGAAATATACAACAAAAAAAATGGATAATTTTAATATAAGCAAAATTTTGCCATTTAAATATATCTTCAGACAACAACCCAAGGATTGTTCAGACAATCCCATTAACTCATCGCAGTATCTGTTTTTCCCTGAGGTTTGCCCTCTTCGCAGATCTGCTTCAGACTTTTTCAATCACCCTTTCTAGTAAGAATATTAATCTTTCTCTGTTCTTTTCATGTGGACAGTCCAGCCCGTTGCATCCTGAACTGCTTTTCATGTGATTCGTGATATGCGCCGACCTTCTGTCTCTTTCAAGGGCCACTCTGTCCCTCGCCAAAGCTTCTCTGTCTTTCTGCAGTCGGGCTCGGTCCTGTTCCAAAGACGCTTTGTCTCTGTTAACCGCAGCTTTGTCCTTCTCTACCTGGGCTCTGTCCCGCTGAAGCGCCGCTCTTTCCCGATCGGCAAGGGCCCTTTCCCGCTCTAGAAGGGCTTTTTCTCGGTCCAGGCCTCCAAGCTCCTTTTCTAGAAGCTGTCTTTCTCTTTGAAGTTTGGTTCTCATGATGTCCAACGAGTGACTTCCTGTCGTCTGCTTGCCTTTTTGTCTTGCCCGCTTAGCCAGATGCGGTCTGGAGGTCGGCGGCACATTCCCCGAAGTTCCTTCCTCTTCCAAGAATTCCAATATTTCCCCTCCGACTTTAATCTGGCGTAGCCTCTTACTAGGATGAGGTGCATTATCATTGTTAGCTTCTGATGTGATCACTTGCTGGCTGATCTTTTCATCAAACTCTTCACCCAGAGCATCGTCCATGAGATTAAACCATTTCCAGCAGGTGGGGTTCTTCTCCACACCGGTGGGAGGATATTTAGCATCCTTGAAAGTGCAAAATGCATTAAACTGTTGAATGTGTTCTGTAAAAGTTGGCATTTGAAAAACACAATTAGCAGTGTAAGACCGACCTTATATCTTGCCTTCAGGTTTTCCCACTTTTTGGCAATCTGCTCAGTTGTAATCCTTTCCTCAAGCCCCATTTCTCGGAGTATTGCACTGCAAAAAAATAAGCAAAATAATAACTTTGAATATGAACACAGATTGTGAGAAATCAAGGCAAATTTTAAGATTACAAATCTCACCTCCAGGCTGTTTTAGACGAATTTTTCCTCCCGTCAAAAAGCGCTGAGTTGCTCGACCGCAGCTGTATCAGTTTTGTGATATCCTCATTAGACACTAGTGCACATAAAACAGCCAGTTAGTTAGCTTAATGCTCACATTACTGATTAGTTTCGCGCAAAAACGAACGACTTACTTTTATAGATGAGTTTAGAGCTGGTCGACGCCGAATCCATATTTTATATCACTTCGTAAAACAGATTTCTAGGGCCCTTAATAGTGCACGTTGAAAGTGTGCTTCTGTTAACATTCCCTCCCAGGGAAAATGGCGCCGTACGAGCACAGCCTGGATA